CTTGTTGTAGTTACAACCTCCTTGATGCATTACAACAACCTTACAAATATTTATATGTGGAGATCTCTAGGACACACAATTAATGTTTTCTTGGGAGTCTGTGCCCCATACAATAGCCTACTTTCTACCCAAATTTGAGAGCAGCAAAATTATTGCTTACTCATTCCATTTATGAGGTCTTGTCAGGTTCCAAGCACCAAATTAAATGCTAGGCAACAGTGATGGCTAAAAGAGACTTGGTTGGTGCATCCCCACAGCTTATGGTGGGCAAGATGGATAACTAAACATGGGATTATTATACTACAGTAGGATAAACCCTATGGTAATTTATTAGTGAACATGTAGAAGGATCGGATGTGTGTTTCTAAAGGATAATGATATGAATGAGACCTGGGAGCAGTTAGATATCAGCTAAGTGGCAGACTGAAGTAAAGGGCAGCAGTGGAGATCCTGGCAGTGGGAACATCATGTGCAAAAAGACTGTAGATTTTTTTTTATTTGCCTCCACTGAATTAAAGTCTGGTTGCCTAAGATATTAGAATTCATCAGATAGTCTTAATGTTGCATTTTGCTACTTTTGGGTCTGGCATATTGGATTGAAAACAATCACAGTGTCAGAAACTATGAAGTTGTTACATTAGCTTTTTCTCTGAGCAAGCTCAGGAGTGTGGCATGACTTTCTATTACCTCATTTGCTCATCCTCACCCTGCCATCTCGTATTGTTACAAGAAAATGCACTTACAGACTTCTTGGTGTCACAGAATTAGAATGAACATATCTGTAGAGAATTGATTAGTTTCCTTTCTGGTTGAGATGTACAACATGTATCGGATGATGAAGCTTTGGTATGCATGCCAAGCAAGAATACGTAGGCAGTTACTCCCTAAAGCATGGATTTTCTGTGGGATTAGAAAATATCTGTCCTTTGTAAAGGGACTTTCATTTCATCTAAAATATGGAGCTACATTTCTTGATTTTTGCAAACCTCAGAAAGATTATTAAAAGTGAGGAACTTTTAAAAGTGAACAACTGCTTTAACAAAGAAACCCTAAAATTTAAATATAACAGAATATCTGTTGTGACATTTTATTATTGTCCTAAAAATTAGTCCACAGAAGTCCAATTTGAGACAAAAAGGTAAGAATTATTTCAAATTATATAGATCATTGCAAAAAAATTGTGGTTAGATATCAGTTGCAATAAATAGAATATGGGAAAAGCGATAGGATGTCACTTCTAATATTCAATTATAGAAAGACTCTGGCTTTGTTTGCTTCCTCTGTCTCTCTATTTTGTTTGCCAGCTTCTCTTTAGACAGACCAGAACTGACATTTATGTTCAATACTATTGAGGATCTGAGACCTGCTTTAAGGGGCTAAATTGTATCCCACTAAAAACTCTCATGTTGAAGACCTGAACCCCTATACTTCAGAATGTGGTCTCTATATTTGAAGGCTGAGTCTTTACAGAGACAATAAAATGAGATCATTAGGGTGAACTTCAATCCAATATGACTGTATAAGAAGAGGGAATTTGGACACAGATATGTGTCGAGGAAGACGATATGATGACACAGGAAGAAGATAGCCATCTACAAGTTAAATGGAGAGGCCTTGTGACGCTGAGAAAGAACCAACCCTGCCAACACCTTGACCTCAAACTTCAGGTCTGAAGGTGGACAGGTGGACTCTGGAGTGTGTATTAAAAGAGTAAGGTCACGTCATATTGGTATGTAAAACCAAACCATGAAAATAATTTATATGTCTGAGAGAGCAAGAATATCAATATAGAAAGAATAGAACTTGGAAAATATGCAGTTTTAGGATTAGAGAAGGAGAGAGGATCTGGCAAGAAAGTCAAGGTCAAAAAATTTTAGAAATTACATACAGATATGTCTTGAAACTAAGAGAAGATGATCTATTCTTGAAATTAACAAAATAAAGAATCTTCTAAGAACAAGTTTCTGACATTTTTTTCCCTCTCCTACATGAGAATGTATACCAAAATGTCTTTTACAAACCTCATTTTCTTTTCTTTCCTTCTTTTATCAGTGACTTTAAGGCTCTACTACTTTGAGGCTCCCTTGCAATCTCAACTTGGATTTATACCCCTCCTATCAATTGACCATGGTCAAGCCTTATTAAATCTATCAAGCATGTGTTACCCTCTCAGGGTAATCCTTCCACTCTGCCACCTCCTATCTATCTCCTTTCACCTCCCACCATATACACCTTATTTCTAACTCTATATTACAAACACTCTACATTAAATTTCAGTGGTGTGCTATTTGTGTTATTTTCAGTACATTTGTTAATTTAGTTGGCTAGTTGAATTTTTTGTGCTCAAGATCAAATCCAGGTCTTTGCTGTGCTAGGCAACTGCTTTGTCAACTGAGCTATATCCTCAACTGCTATTTCTGTGTTTGAAATATTTCATAACTTATAAGCTACACCAATGAAATAATCTTTGAAAACTATGGAAAATTATTTTTTTAAATAGAAATTGTTGGAAAAAATACCATGATGATACCGCCGGTTACTGGTGACGAGTCCTGCTTCTCCAAATGTTGAAGTTTGTACATTAGAGAAGCACACCAAGGCAAGCATATGAAGCAGGGTTTATTTTCAAAGGAATAACATTGGGGCTGGGGCTGGGGCTGGGGCTCAGTGGCAGAGCCCTTGCCTAACACATGTGAGGAACTGGGTTCGATCCTCAGCACCACATTAAAAATAAATAAAGGTATTGTGGCCAACTACAACTAAAAATTAAAAAATAAATAAATTAATTAAAAGGGACAACATAGACTTCTCCCACAAGGGAGAAGGGGGCCATAGTGGTATCCTGGTTTCCCAAGAAGCGAGGTTTTCTTCCCTTTTTATATGTCCTAGGCTTTCTTTATTCTCCTGTCTTTCTCCCCTTTATCTTTCTCTTTCCTGTGGACATGACTAGGCCCAGGAATGCTCAGTGGGATGGCCAAAAGTTGGGAAATAGGTGGGCTGAAGGGGAAAGGGCAGGATGGAGTAGACAAGGACACATTAACAACCTTATAGCTCCCTATAGGGAGGACAATTCCTGGGACAGGTTACCTTGGCAACAGGTTGGAGCAGAGGCAGGTTCTTGATAAGATCCCTCAGGGGACAGTCTCCAACTTCCGAGACTCACTCAAAATTGGCCTCCTTGACCCGACTTGACTCAATTTACCTATGTACACTGAGTGCCTGTCTAATTCTGACTTCAATGACATGTTGCTAACCACTATAAAATTTTGGTCTATATGTTTCCAGTCTTTTTATAAGTATGAGTCAATACATAATTGAGTATTTTAATTATTTATATTGGGATTTTGTTTTGTAATGTACTACAGTCGTCTCTTGGTATTGAGGAAATGGTTTCCAGAGTTCTCTGTGGATGCTCTAGTTCCTATATAGAAAGGCATACTATTTGTTATGGATAGCACATGAATATTTTCCTGTATATCTTCAACCTCTAACCTACCTAAAATACCTGATGTCATTTTAATGCTATAAAAATAGTCATTATAGTATATTGTTTAGGAAATAATTCCATGAAAAATCTATACATGCTCAGTACAGACACAATTTTTTCCTGAATAATTTTGATCTGTGATTGGTTAAATCCATGGATGCAAAATCTGTGGATATGGAGGGAAGACAATAAAACTTGCTTTTATCATTGAAAATTCATGCTGAAAAGTTTTACAGCTTCACAAATTTTCCAGGCATATTTTTTTATGATTACATACTAAAGCTTTTTATGGGCATATTCAAGTTTATATAATGTCTGTTTCTATTGATTATTAAAGTAATCTTCATATACCATGGTTATTTATCTGTATCTTATCCTCTGACTTCAAGAGAAAGTTCTACAAAAAAATTGGTATTTTGTTAAGGCATTCAATATGTATTGCTAAATGGTTCTCTAGAAGATTGCACAATCTAGGGAAGAAATGAAATATTTACATTTGCTTCCTCAGAGAAACATAGTATAGACCTTTTTCATTTTATCTAACTCAACCTTAGTGTTCTAAGGTAATATTTTGTAGATTTTTAAAAATAGGTTCTATGCATTTTTTGTTAAGCTATGCATTTCCAATATTGTTCTTTGAGATAAAAATGTTCTTGCTCTTTATCTTTGCAGTCCAAACCCAGCATATCTTGTAGAAACAGCACATTATTAGGCAATCTAAAACTTAGTTTTTTAACTCTATAATAGATAGTACAGCCAAGTGTCTCAACTGAAAGTCCTCCAAATGACAAAGCAAGTTTTACTGCTTCTTATTGCTCCTTCCCTCTGTTCTCTCACTTCTGAAATCAGAGTTAACTGAAAACAATTTTGATTTATAAAATCCTCTCCAAAGCTGGACAACAGTGTTAACTTGTTGTTACTTTTTTCCACATAAGAAAATAGCTTCTGCATATTACATGTTATGTACTAAGATAAAACCCAAATCTTTGCATCAAAAAACTAGTAACCTATCCTGGCAGGTAAAATGAAATAGAGTATTTCTGTGTATTGTGTCCCCAAAATATATCACATTTCTCATAGTACTTACAAGAATGAAGGCAAAATTTTAAAAATGTTAAATGGTAATATTTGAGAGACTTATCAATCACGTGAGTGAACTCTCCCACAGTTCTTGTAGATTTTCTCTTCTAATTAGATTGCTTCTGTTAATGCTATATGTATTATGATACCTCTTTGGCAGACTACTTCATCATTTCAGAAGGTAGAATTGTTTTTGTTATGTGGTGTCTTTTTAGCTGTCAATGTCAAAGAGCTAAATTCCATTTCAGTCTGGAAAACAAGAAACAAATCATGGGCAGCTATAATCTTGAAACTTAAAAATATCCAAGAAAATGAATATATTTGTTTTTAAGATCTAGGTTATTAAACTCTTAAATTAAATCTCACTTAAAATTTAAAAATACAAAAAACTTGATTAAAAAATATGTCTATATATTAAAACATTAGTTAATATTTTTGTGTTCTACTTATAGACCAGGCACAAGCCTTGAGCTGAGGTATACATGTGGTAAATAATTATTCTACCTCTTCTTTCTCTACTGTCATTGTAAGAATACAGCTTATGACAAGCACCAGGAGACTTCTTTATTTTATTTCCTCTTTTATTCATTTTTAACTTATACATTAAAAACATGAGTTGTCTATATTAATGAGGTATCATGTAGTTTTCAAAACATGAGTTGTCTATTTAATGGGGAACCATGTAATTTTAAATACATATGTACATTGTATAATGTTTAAATCAAGTTGAATATGTCTCCTCATTTGTCATTTCTTTGTGGTAAAAACTTTCAAAATTCTTCCTGCCTTTTTGAAATATGCAGTACATTATCTACAGTCATCACATTGTGCAAATAGTACAACAGAGTTTCTTGCTTCTCTCTAAGCATAACTTGATACACATTGCCAAATATTTCACATGCTTCACTGACCCTTTTTCCCCAGCTTTTGGTAACCTTCATTCTACTCTCAACTTCTATGAGATGAACATTTTTAGATTCCACATATGAATGAGATCATGTGGTGTTTCTGTTTCTGACTTATTTCACTTAACAGAATGATTTACAGTTTCATCTGCATTGTTTCAAATGACAGGATTTTGCTCTTTTATATGGCTGAATAGTATGCCATTGGGTATAGTTAGCACATTTTCTTTTTCAATTCATCAGTTGACAGACATCAAGTTGTTTCCATTTCTTGTGTATTGTAAATAGTGTTGCAATAAACAGATAGTGCAGATGTCTCTTTGATAGTTTCATTTCTTTTGGATACATACCCATGAGTGGAGTTGCTAGATAATATGATAGTTCTAATTTGACTTTTTGAGGAAACTCCATATTGTTTTCCACAATGGCTATACTAAATTACATACACAACATACCAGTGTGCAAGGATTTTCTTTTGTCCACATCCTTGTCAGCACTTGTTATCCTGTTTTTTTTTTTTTTTTTTGGATAACAGTCATTCTTACTGGGGTGAGGTGATATCTCAATATGGTTTTAATTTGCATTTCCCTGATTATTAGTGGTATTCAGCATTTTTCATATACCTGTTGTTCATTTGTCTTTTTTAGAGAAATGTTTCTTTATATGTATTCCCATTTTTAAATCAGATTATTCGTTCATTTACTATTGACTTTCTTTGTTCCTGATATATTCCGGATATAACACCCTCTTGTCAGATATATACACAATATATATTTTCCTAAATTCTGTAGGTTGTTTATTCATTTTGTTGATTGTGTCCTTTGCGGTGCACCAGATTTTTAATTGGCCGCAATCCCATTTGTCTATTTTAGCTTTTGCTTCCTGTACTTTTGAGGTTTTGTCTACAAAATCCATGCCCATTCCAATGTCCTGAAGTTTTCCCCCTATCTTTTCTTCTAGTAGTTTAATAGTTTCAGGTTTAACATTTAGTATCTTTTAAAATTTTTGTTATAACATTTTTATTCTTAAAAATATCCATAATTTACTTTTTATTGAATCTTTTTTAGTTATATATAATGTAAGGATACTTTCTGACATAATCATAAAAGCACGGAATATAATTCACTCTAATTCAGTCCCCAGCATTTCCTCCTCCTCATTCCTCCCTCTGTGCCCCTCCCTCTTCTTAACTTCATGCAATTCATCTATAGATTTTTTTTAATTAGTGTCTTGTGGATGTACTTTATGTTGGTATTCACTGTGGTATATTCAGTCAGATTCATTCCACTGTTCTTCCATTTTGCCTCCTCCCATTCCTTCTCCTCCTCAATCTCTTCTGTTTACTGATCTTTCCTCTCTTTTGATAGAATTCCCCCCCCCCACCTTATCTCTCACTCACTCTTTCTTTTCTTTTTTTCCATTACTTCTCATATCAGAGAAAACATCTGCTTTGGTCAGCTTTTTCACTGTGATGACTAAAAGATCTGACCAGAACAATTGTAGAGGAGAAAAAGCTTATTTGGGGGCTCGTGGTTTAAGAGGTCTTAACACGGAGCAGGCCACTCAATTCTTTGGGGCTTGAGGTGAGGCTGAACATCATGACAGGAGAGTATAATGGAGGGAAGCAGCTTACATCATGAACAGAAGGCAGAAAGAGAGATTTCCATTTGCCAGATACAAATATATACCCTGAAGCCACACCCCAAGCACCCCCTCCAGCCACACCCTACCATCAATTACCCTTCAGTTAATCCATATCAGGAGATTAATTCACTGATTAAGACACTTATAACCCAATCATTTCTCCTCCGAACTTTTTTCATGTCTTACAAGTGAGTTTTTGGGGAACACCACATCTAAACCACAGCAATATCTATCTTATATTTTTGGGGACTGGCTTATTTCACTTAGTAAGATAGTCCCCAGTTCCAACCATTTACAAGCAACTGTTATAAAGTAATTCTTTATGGCTGAGTTATATTTCATTGCACATATATACCAAATTTTCTTTATTCATTCATCTGTTGAAGGGATGTAGGTTGTCTCATAACTTGGCTATTGTGAATTGTGCTACTGTAAACATTTAATGGCTGTGTCACTGTAGTAAGCTGACTTTAAATTTGTTGCATATATGCCAAGTTGTGGGACAAATTGGGCCATATTGTGGTTACAGTTTTCATTTTTGAGGAATTCCCACATTGTTTTCCAGAGTGATTGCATTAATTTTTATTCCCATCAAAAATGTATGAGTGTACCCTTTTAACCACTTCATTTCCAGCATTTATTATTTTTTATATTCTTAGCATTAGCCATTCTGAATGCAGTGAGAAAAAATTTCAATATAATTTTGATTACAATTTCTTTAATTACTAGATATATTGAACATTTTTTCATATCTCTGTTGACTAATTGTATTTCTTTTTTTAGAGAAGTGTCTGTTTAGTTCCTTTGCCCATTTATTGATTGGGTTATCTATCTATCTACTATCTATCTATTTATTTATTATTTTTGGTGTTAAGTTTTTTGAGTTCATTGTATATTCTGGGTATTAATGCCCTATTTGACGAGCAGGTGAAAAGATCTTCTCCCATTTTGTAGGCTCTCTCTTCATTTTCTTATTTCTTTTGCAGTGAAGAAACTTTTTAATTTGATGCCATTCCACTTTTTAATTTTATTTCTTGTGCTTTAGGAGTCTTGTTAAGGAAGATAGTTCCTGAGCTGACATATTGGAGAATTGGGCCTCCATTTTCTTCTAACATTTGCAGAGTTTCTGGTTTAATTCCTAGAATGTTGATCCACTTTGAGTTTACTTTCATAGAGGTTGAGAAATAAGGGTTAAATTTCATTCTACTACTTATGGATTTCCAGTTTTCCTAGCACCATTTGTTAAAAAGGTTATCATTCTCTAAGATTTTTTTGACAATATTTTTTTGACAACAATTATATTTAAGTAGGTCTGTCTCTGTGTCTTCTACTCTACTCCACTGGTCTTCATGTCTGTTTGGGTGCCAGCACTATGCTGTTTGGGGAATTATGGCTCTGTAATATAATTTGAGATCTGGTATTGAGATGCCTTCAGCTTCATTTTTCTTACTTTGGTTGTTCCAGGTCTCTTATTTTTCCAAATTAATTTCAGAACTGATTTTTCTAGTTCTGTGAAGAGTTTTATTGGAATTTTGATGGGAATTGCATTGAATCTGTATAGCATTTTTGGTAGTATGGCCATTTGATAATATTAATTCTGCCTATCCAAAACCTAACATGAGAGGTCTTTCCATTTTCTGAGGTCTTCATTTCCTTTCCTTACTGTTCTATAGGTTTCAGGTTTCATTATAGGTCTTTCATGTCTTTTGTTAGATTGATTTCCAAGGTTTTTTTTTTTTGAGGCTACTGTGAATAGGATTGTTTTCCTAATTTCTTTTTCAACCGGCACATAAAAATACATTTGATTTAGGAGTATTGATTTTGTATCCTGCTGCTTTGCTGAATTCATTTATGAGATATCAAAAACTTCTGGTGGAATTCTTCTTTTGGGTCTTCTAAATATAGGATCATGTCATCAGCAAACAGATAATTTGAGCTCTCTTTTCCTATTCATATCCCTCTAATTTCCTTCTCTTGCATAATTGCTCTGACTATATTTTCAAGGATTATTTTGAATAGGAGTGGTAAAAGTGGTCATTCTTGTATCACTCATTCTTGTTTTTGTAGGAAATGTTTTGATTTTTCTCCATTCAGTATAATGTTGGCCTTGGGTTTGTCATATACAGACTTTAAAATGTTGAGATAGGTTCTTTCTGTCTGTAGTTTTTTATGTGTTTTAAGCATGATTGGATGCTGAACTTTGTCAGATGCTTTTTCTGCATGTATTGAGATGCTTATACCTTGACTCTACTTATATGGTCAATTACACTTATTGGTTTCCATATTTATGATTTCAATGTTTAACCAACCTTGCATCCCTAGGGTGAAACCTACTTGATCCTGGTACACTTACTCTTTAATGTGTTTTTGTATGTGTTTTGCTAATATTTTATTAATAATTTTTGTATATTCCTTCATCAGGAATGTTGTCCTGAAGTTTTCTTTCTTTGATATGTCTTTGTCTGGTTTGAGTGTCAGGGTGATAATGGCTTCATAATATGTGTTTGGCAATATTCCCTCCTTTTTTATTTCATTAGATAATTTGAGGGGCACTATTAGTAATTCTTCTTTAAAGGTCTGATAGAACTCAACTGAGAAACCATCCAGTTCTGGTGTTTCCTTACTTGTATGGTTTTTGATGGTTGCTTCAATTTCATTACTTGATATTTATCTGATAAGTTTTTAATAACTTTATGGTTCAATTTTAGTAGGTTATATGTCTCTAGGAATTTGTCAATATCTTCAAGATTTTGTAGCTTACTTATAGAGTATAAAATTTCAAAACAGTTTGTGGTGATCATCCAGATTTCAGTAGTTACTGTCCTTATTCATTTTGATTTTTGTTATTTTGAGTGTTCTCTCTTTTAGCTAGTTTTTCTAAGTGTCTATCAAGCTTTTTGATCCTTTCAAAAACTATTTGTTTCATTGATATTTTTATTGTTCTTTTATTCTCAATTACATTGATTTCTGCTCTGGTTTTAATTATTTCCTGTCTTCTCCTGATTTTTGGTA